AATGAGGAGGCGCCACTTGGACATTATGTCACCCCTTGTGTGAGGGGTGATGTACAAGTAGCATTATTCATAAAAAAATTATTGATCAAACAAAGATGTTTAAAGCATATGGGTTCTCGGCACCCCTCCAATGAGGAGGCGCCACTTGAATATTATGTCACCCCTTGTGTAAGGGGTGATGTACAAGTAGCATTATTCATAAGAAAATTATTGATCAAACAAAGATGTTTGAAGTGTGGGCCGAGGCGTCCATCCAATGAGGAGGTGTCACTTGGACATTATATCACCCCTTGTGTTAGAGGTGATGTACAAGTAGCATTATTCATAAGAAAATTATTGATCAAACAAAGATGTTTAAAGCAAAGAACTCGCTATAAAGTATAAATGCAGATTCAAACTCTTGTAGCTAAACACTGACACGGGAAAGGCTTGCTACTTGCCATAATAATCGAAGCTATATAGGGAATAAGTGATGATTGAGAGCCAAAGGTCCAATCCCAGGCCTAATATACTTGCAAAAATTAAACCAAGAGGAGCTATAATGCTTCTTCGATGAAAATAGGCAATACAAACATAGCATCACAAGAATATGAACACATATTACACCAGTCGTAGAAAAATCAGACAGGTAATTTTGATCTTCAGAACATCACATAGCATTGAAGACGACAGAAAGATAAGCTTGACTACACACTGAAACCTTCATTGACACTCATGGATCTGAATCCTGTCTACTTGCTAACCGCAACTCATGCAATTCATTGAGAATCCATTCTTCCCCAGTATGTCCACCTAGGACCAAAACCCTGGTTCCTCCAACAATGCATGTGCTATGACCCCAAGCAAATTTAGGTGGTTGCCCTGGGACAGTGATTGTCCTCCAGGATGGTTTCTCTTCAGCAGGATCCAACAGAAACAGCTGTGAAGGAGAATGCAGTCCAGCTATTGAGCCACCAAAGATGATGATCCTCCCACAAGGCATTGTTACAGCAACATGATCAAGTCTAGGAGGTGGAATCACAGCATTCTGACTTCCAACACCAGTTAATGCACCACATTCAAGCTGCCTCCAATTTGGCTTTTCATCCTCCAAATCAATGGTATATGCTTCACCTGACCGCAACTGCAAGTGCCCACTTTTTGCAAGGCCACCAAACATTAGAATTTTGGTTCGTCCATAAACAGATAATGAGTGTCCTAACCTGGATGGAGGAGCCCATGAAGTTGGAATCTCTCTCCATGTAGGTTTGTCTGTGTTGAGATCCAACAAGTATGTGTCACTAAGTAGCACACCAGCATCAGTGCATCCACCTGAGACAACTAACTTAGAGCCCTCTATTGTGCAAGAACTATGCCAAGATCGCGGAAGTGGGGGGGTCCCACCAAAGACTTCTATCCATGTTGGCTGCTTAGCATCCAAATCAAGAATAAACACGTCATTGAGCAAGCCTTGCCTCCCACAGCCACCAAAGACGACTAACCAAGAACCATTCAAGCATGACAAGGTATGGCCCCATCGCCCTGGAGGAGAAGATTTAACACTCACCCGACGCCACTCCGGGTTTGCAGCGTCAAGATTGAGAACAAATGTGTCATCCATTGGCTGCATATTGACTCCTTCTCCTCCAAACAAGACCAGTCGGTTCCCGGCAGCACAAGCACTAAAGTTGCAACGGGAAGGCTCTACTGCACCTCCAACTGTCAGCTTCTTCCAACAAACGGCTTCGAGAGTAGTTAGTTCCCTAGCCAAGCGTCCCCATCCTAACTTTTTAGTCATCAGTTCCAGAGCACCTGTTACATCTCTTCCCCATGCATTTTGACATACCATTTTCCTCACATGCTCATTCTTTGTTAGTAGACGAATCCTTGTGCAGACAGACCCAATTGATGCAACATCCCGTGGAGTCAAGCGTGATAAAATATTATGGGCCAGTACTTCATCAGAAAGCTGCAGAATTCCACATATTTCCTGATGTTGACTCTGTAGTAAATGTCCACTCTTTTGAAAGGTTTCATCCGACTCATTACACTGCTGTTTACAAGTTTCTTTGAAAACCGGATATGATACATTATTCAGGTCTAGTTTTGCTTCAGCAAACACTTGGATTCCAATAACATGCGTGACTATACCATCATCGCTATGAATTGGCTTAAGTCTTAGCCTGTTCATCAAGGCGGTACCATCTTTGCTGAAGTTAAGGAGCTCTCCTTGAAATTCAATACCTTCCTCAAGACATCTTCTGATCTCAGAAACAACAACAGGATCCACCAAAGGGTGCCGTCTCTGTGCGCGAGGGTCTCTATATTGCAAGAACCGACTGAAAGATTCAAAAATAGACTTTTTAACTTTTTGGTGATGAAAAATATGGTAGAATATTACTAAAAATGAGTATATACTCCATAGTTCATGCATAATTAAAAGGCCCATATCAAGATATTCATGTATAAAGGAATACATTTTGATACATGGACATAAATTATGCTAAACAGAATCCCGAATTACAAGTTGACTAATAAGCATGAGAAAGAAAAGAGTATGCTTCACTCTCATGCTTGTATGTTCACTTTAAGACACCCCAAACATGCTCCTGAGGTCTCCACCATGTATAGTGCATATATTACATAGCCCAGGACTCAACCACCTTGCAATCAATATTTTCAGGAACACACACTCATAACTGAAATTAACTGTCAAGTACAAAATTTAATTGGCAGTTTTTATCAATTATACAACAGTAATACATACATATAAGCCAGTAACATTTTTATAATTTCCTAAGAGCTAAATCAGCCTATGCAACTCAACCTGTGTCATACATTGCGAATTCAAGAAGCCTCCAGCTACGTTTTTGTTTTATATTTTCTGTTAACATTTAAACAATATTTTACACGCAGACAAATTACTCCCGGTTCAACAATACCATACTTTACAAGAAAAATTCCAAGATCTTTTGAGGTTGAGTGAGTTCCACTTCCCCAGGTCAAATCTACAGTTTGGTGGGCCACAATGGTCTAGAATTCAATCGCAATGGAAAAGGTTCATTTGTCACAACCTATTTCAATAGGTCGTGGTTTGAGTCAGCCCTTATGGGCACCCCGTGACCCATTTTTCAACATCTCTCATCACAAATGATCAGTTTGATGCAAACTATATGTAAGAACTAATATCACACATTAATCTATCTTATAACGTTCATACAAGCCAATACATCATGCGCCTAGCCATTGTGCTTGAAGAGAGCTCACATTACTACACACATGTTATGGGTATAAAGTAGTTCTCCCACTTTGCTAGCAACACAGAAATGAAGCTTTGAGAAACAACCAAAAGTGTGAAAGGTACGATAAATGAGATGATATAAATCTATGCATCACACAATGAGCGAGGATACATTCATTAGTTATACCACCGGTCAACAAAACACGTGTTATACTAAGGTATAGTATATGAGGTGATATAAATCTACATGTCTCACACAATGAGCAAGTAGGGATATATTCATTTAAGTATACCGCTGATCAGCAAAGCACGAGTGATATGAAACACGTGCTATGTTGTTTTCTTATTCTCTTAAAGGCGTATGTCATATTCTCCAAAACCGAAAAACATCATACAAATCTTGGTTCAGATACACCTTAGTACCTGACTTGTGTGTCTTACATTTATTCATATTTACAATCTCAACCAAGAACTTGATCGGAGTAATCGGACTACCAGACAAGTCTAGTGGAGGAGTCCACTTTGATTACATATAATAATCCCATCTTCTTTTCACCCTGGAGATGGGATCTAGTGCATTAAAAGATCAAACTTCATCTCATTTCAACACATCCCAAAAAATCTCATGTAAAAGCCTATCTTTTATCTACAGCAAAAGTCCGCACTGAATATCAACTTAAGAAGAACGGCAATTGAGATCCAGTCCCGTCAAGTGAGCAACTAAAGTGTGAAATACTATAATCAATTTACTCAACACAATCACATTTTTAACTCCATATTTTAATTCTCTGAAATTTAAAATAAAATTTAAAGCATAATATAACTTTCGAAAACCAGAATCTGTAGCATAAGAGCTCACAACACAAAATAAATGACAGCTTTAGTAACTATTGTAGAGCATGCTACACACGCATGAGACGGCAAGTGTGATGCACACCTCTTCTATGATGTCTATATCCCTTTTCTACATATTTTGACATGTAGATTCAATTGGTGCAATCGAAACTGACAAAATCCCAATCATAAACTAATGTGTGGAATTACAACCAAAGTAAACAAGAGTGGGAGTGGAAATCATTGTTCATTATCTTATTCTCAAATTTTCTGAAATTTTCAGAAACCCTTATTTTCAAGCCAAACTTCGAAAATTCATATCATTCTCATCTCAAGTCCAAATAATCCAAAAGCCAACTCTTTTTGAAGATTTAAAAAGAAAAATGTTATTCAAGCTCTTCCATTTTGGTGCATTTTCATGTACCACACGAAGTTTCATTCTCTTTATATAAGAGAAGCTTAAGGAAGTAATGAGAGGTTATGGAAGTTGAAGGTTTGTTTTCCTCCAACCAATTTCAACATTATGCAGGTTAGCAAAAATTATGGATGCATATTGTTCTTTCATCTTATCTTACTCTGATTTTAGTGCTATAATTTTCATCTTCTTTCCTAGAAACTTTTCTGCTTGGGGAAGGGTTAATTTGCCATTTTGCATGCAAGTGCTTCACTACTTTAACTTGAAATGTGATCTAGTTTTTCAGATGACAATTTTTATTTCTACAAATGATTTTAGCTAGTACACTAAGTTTGTTTTAATCAATACTCCATTTGCGCTCACTCACATAACAACTTGTCATTGTCATACAAGATCAGAATCACTGAAAGGATAATTCTTGCTAGATAGAATTTATACAACAAAAAGTTCTACCTGAAAATTGATGTCTTATTTTCTCAATTTTTCTATGAGCTTTTGAACTCAAGCAATTAGGTAATAAGCTTCCCAACGACTGACCAAACCACGTAATTATCCTTATAATTCTATTAAGCTTTGAATAATTTTGAATAAATACATAAACTACAAATATAGATAACATATAGTCTTGAAATTAGGGAATCTTAACATAATGCTGCTCAAAAGGAAAACAAAAACCATTAAAAAATATAATTTGATACAGAAAAATAGTCATTTTCATCTCTACCGCCCATGAACAGGAGTATTATTTTTCTGTAGAACTCAGAAATCAATGTTTCGAATAAATTTTCATTTTCAACCGCTTCTGTTTCCATTATATAAAGTTTTAAAACTCACAAAAATTATAACCCCAAAAAAAAAAACACACACACACACACACTTATTCGCATTCGCGAACAGGCGGCATGTATTTACCAGTTACGGCCGAGGACTTCGTCAGCGCGAAATCCGGTGGAGAGTTCGAATACAGTGTTGACATAGATGACCGGAAAATCAGGTTCCAAGGCATCGGAGACGACGATCGATGTCGGCATCGGGACTGGATAGAAGAATTGGTCAGCCGGTAGTTCAAGCTCATTCTCCCCATAAAGCTCCATGTTGTCTTCACTCTCGGCACATTTTAGACGCTTCCCGCAGCTCTGAAAATCTTCTTCTATACTCCTTTCCATTCCCATCTCTCTCCGTTCTCTCTTTGTATCTGCGTGTATGTATCTGTGGGTGGTGCAGAGCGCGAGAGTAGATATGTTACAAAGGTGTAATAAAACCGGGCTAGAAAGATCACTTAATTACGGAAATGCCTTTAAGAGAGGTTAAAGAAACTCCTCTCTTTTTTTCCAATACAAAAAATATGCAACTCGGTAGGGTAGGGTCGGTGGTGAAAACAATATTTTTAATTTTGATTTTTTTCGTGACCTCCGAGGTACAGTTGATTGCACCTTCTAAATATAAAAATTATTAATATAATTTGAAAAATCTTTTCTTCAATATATAAGTAGATTGATAGAAATTTACAACGGTGTACAGTCATCAAAATATGATAATTTCAAAATATTGATGATTTTTAAAGTTATATATAACACGATTTTTGAGTTCAATAAAAACCTTCATAACTCAAAGCACGCGTGTGATCTCGAAAAATCGTTGTTTATTCATTTGTTAAAGAAATGTCTGTTTATATTAATAATTTCATTTTGTTTATAATTTGAGTTTGAGTCGACGGTCATTATTCTATTCGTAACATATTTAGCTTCTGTTTGACAGTTATTATTTTAAAATTCTTTAATTCAAATTCTCATTCTTATCAGAGTAGTGTCATTTAATATCACTGGTATTTAAACACTAGTTTAAATGACACTAATATGACATTAAATGAGAAATAAAATTGAATGACTCACTTCATTGCACTTTTCATTCAGCTTAGCACATCAAGTCACCTACTCTTCTGTTTTAGCACCACGATGATATATAGTATTATTCTTTTCATCCACGTGTTTATATAATAAAATATTTTTCACATAAATCCAAAATTTTTATCTACTTTTAATTATACATTCTCCAAAAAATCATTATTCAAAACTCCATTTTCGCAAAATAATGGTCATCAAACGAGGGCTTAGTCATTCAATGATGTTTAAACTATGAACAGTCGGTCAACTAATAAATCGTGATATATTGGAGTGAACGTGAAACAACTATCAACTAAACCCCAAAAGGTCTAGTTTGAGGCATAAGAGTTTAGATCTCTGAACATAATGAATCCAGTGACCATTTGATTTAGGCGTAGGACCCACTCCGATCCTTTTAAAGCGTCTATTTGGGGTAGAAACACGATCCATGGTATGAAATAAGTCGATAAAACAAAAATCTCACAAAAACCCCACGGTAGATGTGCCATGTGTATGAACAATATTTCGAATAACAAGAAGAAAAATGATTGAATAGAGGAACTCCCGAATATTTGGCGATCTCAGATGTGTCGATATCAATGGTTACTCATTATTTCGATGAATCATTTCTCTGGACAGAAGAAGACTATGTAAACACTTACTTGAAATCTCACTTATCAAATTCAATTAGTGAAGTAAATTAGTTACATTTCTGAATGTAACTAATTGTAAGAAAAAAAATTAACTTATTTATTTTCAACTTTGAGTATAAGAAAATGTTGATTAAAAATTATTTAAATAAGACAATAAATACGGATTTAAAAAAGGGAATGGATGGAGATTGGGGCACACTTTGTGTTAGAAAAATGGCAATGCCCATGAATTGCGACTACGAATGTCCTTGAGCTATAAATTCATGCATTTCCATTATCCAGCTGAATGGCCAGCTAGTAGTTAGAAAATTCTTGAAATAAAATCATTTTTTATTTATTGGTTTGAAATATTGAGTTTAAGGGTAGTATAGTTTGTAGATCCCATCGAGATATTTTGTTAAAGTTATCGTTATGTGACATTTTAACTGTAATGAACACATACTATAGACTATAAACAGAACCTCACAGAACCTACTATCTTCATCTCGTAAGAGTCTAAAATCACAAATATCATTAGCGGTGAATATTTTAATTGGAATCGAACCTCACTGAACTAGTGATTCCAATCCGATTCTTGAATCAAACCGCGAGTACCTGATTCTCTAACCGAATTTAGCATTTTTTATAAGTTTTTTTTAATTAATTTACCTGACCTACTGATCAGTCCATCAAGTAGTAAGTTTGCAAAGTCGATGTAGTAATATTGTATATTGTTATACTAGATAGTGGATGTTGTTNTGGGAATGAAAATACAGTCTACGTGGCGCAATGTAATATTAAATGATAGGTGAAATTAAATACACCATTTAATTAAATACATCATTTAATTTCACATTTCATTTAACATATTATTTAAAACCACATATATTTTGTTTTCATCTCCACTGAGGATTAATAACATTACTCATTTAAATATGATGGAAAGCTATGCACAATCCCCCAAAGCATGCAATGGAGGGTGCATTGGTATCTTGAATTTTAAATATAATTTAGACTCTTTTCTTTATTTTGAGATGATTTTGAATAATATAGCAAGGGGGGATTGCTAGGTTGACGAGGTTAGCTAATTGTTGGTTTTATTTGGTTCTGGTTGCAAGAGAACTGAAACGAACCGATATATATACCAATGATTTTTTTTTAAAGATATGAAACCAAATCAGAACCGAAGGTTTGGTTCTAGTTTTACTTCCTAAAATTTCAGACTTACACCATATTTATAAGTTAGTAATATATACTTAAATAAAAAAAGTAAAACATCAAATATTCAATAAAATTGATTCACTAACTTAATTGCAACAGTTTTGACTACAACCCCTACAAGAAATGATAAATTATACAAAATTTTTATAGTCAACTTTTACAAGCAACTATTAACCGTTAAATACTTCATTAACGTTATTGGATATTCCTCTAATTACGAAGAACATAACTAATTCATCAAACAATCAAGGTGAAAAAATAAAATACTTCATTAACGTTATTGGATTTTCCTCTATTTACGAAGAACATAAATAATTCATCAAACAATCAAGGTGAAAAAATAGTTTAAAGACTTTTCAGTGACCGGCTAATTTTATTTTTCAATCTTGAAGAGTCTCCTCCATCGACGTGATGAAATGTGGTACCGACGTATCGTAGTATTGTGTAAATTTAAAAGGAATTAAAGATAAATGACTCAAATAAATGCAAAAGTGCACACAATTAATGGGTTCAAACCAATGAATACAAAATTAAGGTCTCGACTAATTAATATAGTAGAAAATACAATTATAAATTACATTAAGAACCAACATCATTAATTTTTTTTGTATGATTTAATTTGGTTTGGACATTTTGTCCACCTTCGGTCGCTATCACACTCTTGCACTCGGCAAATAAATGAAAATAAAAAAGTGGGGAAACATGGGAGAGGTTTAGTGGTTAATGTTGTGATTAGTTGTCCAGTTCATACATCAATGACATTGTGGACCCCACACATATGAGTAATTATATTGGATATTTTGTTAATCTGTTTTGATTTAAATTTGAAGTAAATATTTATAAATGTAGATATACTAAACCATCTAAAAGCATGTTTGGAAAGCGTTAGCGTTTATAAACGACTAAATTATTTGTAAGTAATAAATGAGTGATAAATGAGTAAGTAATATTTGTAAATCCCTCCAAATATGTGGATAAAGAATAAATTGAACGATTAACAACGATTTATTAACACGAGCCAATCATAAGCTAAATGCCATTTTAGGTTCAGTTAAAAATATGATTTTATTAAATTTTCTTAAAAGTTGATGAAATGTCTGGTTGAAAAGCTGATAAAAGACGCGGGTCTGATGAAATATGTTGTTAAAATTAATTATTAACTTTAATTTAGATTTTTGTTAATTTTTTTAGCTAAACAAAATATAGATTAAGACCCTATTTGGTTTGGATTAAAATCATACAATTAGTAGATTTCGATAAAATTTGATATAACGTATGATTGAAAAGTTGATATATTTAAAAATAAATTTGATGAAAAATAAATTTTGAAAAATGGGTACCAAATAGATGCTAAAGTATATAATTCTTAAAATAAAGGATGAAAGTTTGGTTGGAAGATATTTTTGAAGATATTTTATTGAAAGTGGAACCTTTGGAATCTGTAGATACAACGGCATACCTTTTACTAGAAGCAAACTGGGGTGGCACTTGGGTAAATAACACCGAATTTTGAGGTCAAAGTGGAGGACTAAAGTCTAGAAAGTGGAGAATACGTGTATTGAGGATATTTTGAGAGGAAAATATCTAGACCTAACCTGTCACCCTGGATCGTCCACGTCAATGATTCCCTTTGTAGATATTTTGGCACTTCGAATGTGGCTCCACGTGTACATGTCACTGCCAATACAACGATATTTCACAACCCCATCTAAACAAACATAAAGGAACGAAGGATTTTTTTCCCTCTTCCTCTGAATATGCTCATATTAAGTGAAAATTAAATATACACATTTCAATCTAAATAAAAATTAATGATTAATTTTAACTATACATTTAATAGAATTCACACTTTTTAATCATATATTCTATCAGCTTTTATTAAAATTTATTGAAAGTTTTATTTTAATCTCTATCAAACAAGAGTTATATGTGAGTTTTAAGAACTAAAAATTGAAAAGCTTTTAAATTTAGTGTTGTTAAGTATCTGCTTACGAGTAGATCAAGCGTCAACCGACTAAGAACAAGTCACGTGAAGGTTAGCACTCTACTACACATCGTCTCTTCCATAAACTTTTTTCAAGGCGATTAGACCATGCCTAGGACAGTTGTTATTCGAGACGATTAATTTAGATGCCTTGTTCGAATAGTTCGTCATCTAAGGCAATGCATCATACCTCTGCTGCAACACTTATCTGAGACGATGTGTATCTGTTGAAGCCTCACCTCAACCAAGTTGCACAGAATACACTACACAAAGTGATTGATGCGTCAACTCTGCAAGTGGTGACATCCTATCTGATTATAACTTTTCAATCTGTGCTCAAGCTAGGGGGCCACATGCCTATGACGATTATGAATTGACACAATGAGTTTGACCAGTGAGTTGTTAGTATGATGTCACATGTCAAGCAATAGACATTGACTCGGCTCTCTTGG